TTTTTATCATTACTTAAATTGAGACAATGTTATCACAAGTCACATCTGCTTACTGGGATAGATTACAGCCTCGGATGAAACAAACCATGACCGGTATTTTCAAAATTGTAGTTCTTAGTTTGTATGGCCTCAAAGCAGTGGCGTGGGGGAAATTCGAAGCCCGTAATAAAAGAACATGATATATCAATAATACGTGTCTTGAAGTCAGATATGGATCTATGACAACGTGTTATTGTATTATCGTATGATAATATAAGGTATTATTCTTTTCCTATCGAAAACCGAATGATTTTGTTGCTATATTAGTATCAAAAATAATTTAAATGTAATGAAGACTTATTTAATCACAAATCTCTTGGTGTTTATAAATATAAGATAACAAACATAGGAAATCCTAAACGTGTCATATATACATTAAAGAATGTCACCAATTGTAAAATCATGATTAAAGTAAGCATCAGTTCTAAAAATTTAAAATAATATACATTCGAGCATAAAAAGTTTAGTATCTTCAAATGGGTCTCCACATGGACAAGACGGATCGGGGAAGATTTGCAATTAGTATCGCCGTACCTTATTTCACAATTACAAGTTGTCTGTTAAGATACTTAAATTATATGAACTATATGATCGTTTATGATACTGTGTTATAGACTACATGAACACACAACAAATGTTAAGTAATTATATGAAGGTGATTTCATAAACATCATTTTATCCACAGCTTATTCTGTTCAGTTAGTTTAATTCCAACGGAAATGTTCATGCATCAATATTTTATCAAGTTATGTACAAACGTAGATTTGTACCCTTGGTAAATGCATATAGCTGTACATCTTCCGTATTTGCAAACAGACAAAACGATTACTTGTTACGCTGAAGCAGATGACATCTTTACTACCTTTGCGTTACAAAAGAAACTGAGCATATTCTATCCCAGTAGATGGAAAAGAGGATAATCCCATTGTTGTTTGGTCAATTAAGAGAACTGTTACATGAGAATCATTTGCCAGACATTCTCATTCACAACAAACCAAACAGGAATTTAAATATTATATTTACTAAAAAATGCAGCAATTATATATGATAAATACGTCAATAAGAAGTGAGGCGCTCTAACAGAACAGAACTTTGGTTAATGAAGACATGAGTCAACAATCTACGTCTTGTTTCATTAGATGTAGAACACAAAAACACAAATATTGGTATTCGTCACCGATGTCTTTTAAACCACATAAAGTGCATAGTATTTTATTATGTAGGATACTTTGCCACCAACCTACTCTAATTGGCATATAAAAGTCAGCCAAGCATCATCTACGTAGATTATAGTTTCATCGATCGCGACCTCGATGTTGTTACTTTCAGGTACGTAGATGATACATTTTCTTAGACCGTGGCCCTAATACGCTTCCTCAAGGTAGCAAACATGTATGAGATAAATATATCAAATCAATACATTACATACTTGATATGCGTGTTTTAGTGCTGACATTGATTTAATTTTGTTGATATGACTACTGTCATTTGAATTGTTAGTGCTGTAAATAAACATATGAGTAACACTTTATGGTGTTCTTTCCTTACTCCTTACTGGCTGACAAATGGGTGAAGAAGGGCTGAGTCCACTTAAACCGTAGGTAACAGGCATGGTATTAGTAATGAATCAACCATTACTACAAGTGTCTAACAAGTGGGATGTCTGACAGATGGGAGGACACCAAATTTACGGGTCACCAATTCTCTAACAATGAATGTAAAGACACTGGACAACGACGACCACCGGACTTTGCCGGATGGTGACGGAAGCCAGTCAATTAAGCGAGGGGGAAACGGTACGGTCACTAAACTGTGACTGTACAGTTTTTCATCTTTTTTCCAACATTTGAAATATTGGGTTCACGTTTCTTTGTTCTCACATATGTTGATACCTTTGCCATCAAGGCTCATATGACCCCACCCCCGTCATAAAGTTGTCCTTTGTAGTGAATTCAATATGAAATCGGCTATTAACTCAAGATGTCGAAGTCTTTCATGTTTTATTTCCTGAAAGATTAGGATAAATATTCCTGCTTTTGATTAAATAGAAGTTAGATCAACAGTTGAAGTCAAGTTTTTGAGCATAGCAAATGGCAGTTTTCGATCGAACTGCCACCAAAACTACATCATAGAATTCTAAGTCGACAGTCTTGGTTTGCTGGTTAGCTTTTACAGGTCAAAAGCAAAGTTTATCGCATTACCTTCGTGACGCATTTCAAGCCTGTCATACAGTTCCTGAAACAAATATATCAAATACAGCCGATGCAAGTCAATCATATTTGGCAAGACTAGATTACTGCAGTTATATATTTTATTAATATAATTTAACAATTGTTTTTATTTTTGTAAAATATGTTCATTTCAGAAACTAGATGTTAGTCTAGCCAGCGGTCTAAACTCGCTTTAATTTGGTTACACGTTTCATGATTTACAGTATTCGTGAAGAAAATTTAACAATTAGCCACAATTAGAGCCTTTGGTATGAGTAGAGGGAAAGATAAGCATAGACTTGCTAAGTATTTTATGATATTCATGCTAGCTCAAAAGAAACTTTAATTTATGTTTGTAGTACACCCCAAAAAGAGGGATTACACAAGTGATATATTAAGATGACATACATACTTACGTGTATAAACTACTACCAAACAGTGAGGATAACAGGTGTTTGCAAATAGGTGAGCGTATCCTGCACCACCGGTGCAAACACATGCAAAGGCAAGTTAGTTGTTAAACCCGAAAAACACGGAAACATATGGCACAAGTCAAAACAGAGAATTTTATCGGACATAACTCCATATGCTACTTCTGTGGTAGTCACCAATCAACCCATTTATACTTCCAAAAATAGCTTTAACCCTTTTAAAGCTTTTGATAAATTCAAAAGTATGGGTATAGTCTGACAAAGCAAGAAGCACAAATGGGGCATGTTTCGGCCAATGCTTCGAGTATTCTTGCAAGTCTAAAGGTCTAACAGAAGTTATTTCTGCGACATGCTATTTCAAAACCCAAAATTCAGAGTGATATTTATGGAAAGAAAAATTGAAATAATACAAATATAAATTCCCTCCAGGTGAAGGCTATCACTTGAAATCATAAACAAAGCAGATTTTAGTCAAAGACACATCTCTTGGGGTAGAAGTTGATCTCTGTCACCATTCTATAGTATTTCTGGAAAGGAAAGTTAACTTACAAAGTTGTAATATACGTGAAAGGCTTAATGTTGCTGATTAAGCGCAAAGATATAAACTCTCATTGACTGCTCAGTAACATTCATGTCATATTAGTAATATTCAAATAAGTGTACTTGTTCTTGGTGTGTGTGACGTGGATACATAAAAATTATATATATAAGCGTATAGAAGAAACGTCAACAAACTTGTAACTATGTATGAAATGAACAATAAAATAAACAATGTCCTTCATCTGTAACTGATCTTACACCACCAGCTGTGTCACAGAACGTCAGTTATAATCTCAGAAACCGCCATCATTTTGTAGTTCCATTTGCTCGGACATCTACGTTTAAAAGGTCTTATATTATAATCAGGGATAGCCCGTCAATATCTAATTTTAAAGCTGTCGCATCTGAGCAGCCTACATAACCACCTATGCACTATAATTGCGGTAAGAGATCTACAAACATATTGCACACTAGATTGAGACACAATTGTAGCACACTAAATTCCGACCTGTTTCGTGTTAATTTATCTGATACTATTTCCTGTAAAAGCGGAGCTCCGTGTGAAAATGCATTCCATTTCTTCTTCGAATGTAACTTATATGATGATTTTAGGGAGACATTACTGACAGCTATCGATAATCTTGGAGGACAAAAAACATAGTATGCGTTTTGGTGATCCAAACTTAGATGTTTTCCTGAATACAAAAATATTCTTGTCTGTACACAAATTTATAGAAACGACTAACAGGTTCAGTAGCTAGCATATTATTGTTTCCAAACTGTTAATCATTAATATTGTTAAATCTATATACAACGCTAACATGTATAACATTAGCATATGTATGAAATGCACACTGTCTTCACTTTCCAGCACATTGTACATATCCTGCATATGAGCACTGTATATATATTGCGCACTATGTTTCCACAATGTGAAGCTTCAACTGTAAATGGTTCATTTTCATTTGCAATATTATGTATAACTGTATATAGGGAGAAGGCGATAATAAGTGCTGCACATGTGCCCAATCCCTTTGTCTTTTTTGACAATACAATATGTTTAATAATAATAATAATAATAATAATAATAATAATAATAATAATAATAATAAGCAACCAATGTATTATGATCAGGGTCCATTGGTATCCCTTCAGCAAGTGCGAATCAGGTCCTAACACATCTGTTTTGTCATGTATCACGCGCTATACAGTCGAACCTCGCTTATCCGGACAATTGCTTTTTCTAAAATGTTGTCCGGATAAACGCGTTTCCGGATATCTGAATACCTTGTTAACTGACCAGAAGTCCTTCCCCTACCTCAATTCTACCGAGGCATATGTGAAATGAATGGCAAAAATATGATTTATGAAGGATCGACCAATTACTGATAAAATACATTGTGATGTACAGACCCTCACAGCATGCTGTGACAGCGCACTGCATTATTGAAACGGCTGAAGAAATGCATATGTAGCCTAGTTTAGACTATGTAATTGTTTTTAGTACAGATGTGACGGCCAGGTTAGGGCAACCGGACATACATGACAATTAATAGCCATGTTTACCTGTACTAGTTGACTGCCAAGATTGAACTCATTCATGTGTGAAAAATGTTGTCGAGGCATCTGTACATCTTCTTTGTCGAATTGCATTATTAAAGTACATCAAGATCAGACATCATATACATTCATATATATTTGTTGAGCACGAAACCATGAAGTGTAGCCAGAACATTTCCTCGAAACTATGGGCGGCCATGCAGCTTCAATATCTTAATAAGTTATGTCACTGAACATTGGTCAAGGTGTATTCAGTAAGCAAAGACCTGAGGGGCTGTATTTCCTTCATCGAACACACGCTGCGTTCATCATAGTTTGGGACTTTCTAATCTAATTGGGAATCATGCAGTTGTTAGGCTTACGGATACGAACGAACTAGAACTTGTTTGGCAGGTAGGTTTTGTTAAGATTTGTTATCTTGTTCTCTCTCTACCCTCTACTTACTTAATCACAATTTAAATCCTAAATAGACTTTCGGACCTTACACTGTGGCAATTTTAGACCCTCTGTTTCTGTATTTACTTGTGCTCATTTTCCCTAATGTTTACATCATCTGATAAGACTAAGTCATCAATGATGTCAAAGCTGTCTGACATGCTTCTTATGAACAGTTTTTGAAGCTAAACAATGTCCAAGTGACTAAAGCACAAAAATACGCGCTATCCATTTGATCGACGTTTGTATGTTTTTTTGGGGGGAGAGGAGGTGCTTACTACTACTTAAAAACAGAGATCATATTAGATTACTAATGAGATGGTGATAAGGCTAAGGTTATGGAACAAACTCACAGTCTTGAATTACTACACAATACACTGCCTGGGACCCAAGCTTCAATTGCTACAGTGTGCAAAGATTGTTTGTGAATGAGATAAGCTATATAGTTAGATTTAGTTCTCAGGATATTAGTTCTTGAAATGCATGACGTAGCAGTCCCCTCATGTACTCAATATATGCTATTTTAGTATTCAAGTATCTTCTGGCGACATTGCCAAGACAGTGGAAAATATTAATCCTGATTCCAACACAATATTTACAAGCAAATATGAGGAAAAGAGACAAACGATTTCTGTGATGAGTGAAGCACTGTATATGTGTTTGTGCACGTGCGTGCGTGTGTGTGTGTATGTGCGTGTCTATGTGTGTGTATGTGTGTATATGTACATGGCACTTATGCCCCATCTCTTTGTCTCCTTGGACGATAAAATATATTTGGATCAAATAAAAAAAACCTGACACATCATACCATATTACATGTCCCTTATTCCTGTGTGTAGTATATTAGATACACTGCCAAAAACAGAACAAGTATGTGTGTAGACTTTATGGTCAAATGCACAGAGCGGATTAGCAGTCGGAGGTGATTGCATTGGCGGTGACTTCTTTATTATAATCACTTGAAAGTGTTGAAATCGATTTGTGCTGAGCTCAGATTGGTTTATACGGGATGCCGCGAGGTGATTTGAAACATGCTCTCGTGCGCATAGCAGATTAGCCGACTGAGTGGATTGCACATAGGATGAACGCTATATCATTATTACTTAAGAGTGTTGAATTTGGTTTGTACGGTTTAATTGTACGGTATACATTGTTATAATGTGAAATCTCCGCGGAAAATCGCGTTTTTTAAAACAGTAGTCCTCGGAAAAATCATCGTCCGCGTAAAAATATAATCAAAGATTTAAAAGTACTCTGAAAAACCGTCGCGGATTGTCCTGTTTTTGATCAGAGCTTTCAGCACCAAACATGCCTTTATTATTATTCATAACACAATTCTATTATTGTCTGATCTTAAGTTTCCGGTCATCATACGTTTTCTATCACGAATACTTGCACCATAACGAGGGGTGTGGCATCACACAGAAACTGTAAATACTCCGATCATGGCTTGTTTTTAATGATAACGTTGTCTTTTATGAATGAATGAGATGTTTTACAATTGTTCATGTGAAAAAACTATGAATGTTTATTCAACGTCCGAAAACTCATAACACGGGGATATATGTTGTATTAATGTCTTATGTTTTACAAAAGGTAAGTAAGTACAAGATAGGCTTTTCTCAATATGCTTTAACATGGGAAAGGTTCAGACATTGCACGTTTGTAGCAGTATTGCTCGTAGACCTGACGGGTGCGTTGAAGATATTCCCAATTTTTTTAAGTACTGATTTAACTTCGAAATTTTACTGCATCCGCCATCTTTGTATATTTGACTTTACTTCTGCCACTGACTTATTACATTTGTTGGTATGAATATTGTCAATACGGCACGAAATTGCTAAAAATGCAATGTTTAAAATATTTCTGGTGGCTCAGTCATCAAACTACGACCGTAAATGTATTGTACAACCGATGCAAGAAAATAACAAAAATGTTACAAATCCAAATTATGAACATGTGGAATATGAATACTAATACCTGTACCTTTTAGAACAGAAAATTTACACATTGACGTATTCAGATTTAATTGATATTTTGCTGTACATATATAAATGCGAATTGTATTTATTGTGTTTCTTCATCTACAATTCAACAAGGCACAAAACTTGCTTAGATTTAAAACAAATAATACTATGGTTATTGCACAAAGAAGGATCCAGTACCAATGAAAGCACCAAAGCAATCATATAACATATCGCAACTCATGGTTGTTAACAATCAGGCCGTCAACATAATGACGGTATTAGTGGGCACATCGTAGTATTTGAAGTTATAAAACGATAACTTCATATTTATACTCATACAAAATGAACCCTTGTACAGTAATTGAGTTCATGCTTTCATTAGCAGCTTCATGATATATATTGTGTATGATTAAAATAGATGAGAGAACAACAGTATCGCTAAATGATCCCGTACCATTTCTAGGAAACGAGTGAACAGTTTGGTATCAACTGTTTGGTTTCGCAAGGTTCGTAAAACATGGTATTACACATAGGCTGATTTCGTATTTTATTCATCGCCTCTTTTATGCAAACCCAATTATCGAAAACGAACGGAGAATTCTATGCTTGTTTTTCTGCGTGAGGGAAGATAATTTATATAAAGTTTTCTAAATTAGATATTAAATTATCGTTCCAACAGAATTCAGAAATTACATATGTCAGCAGTTTAGGAAGTTATACACATCATCTTGAAAATGAACAAAAAGAAGAAGAATAGTTTATTTATGTGTCACTATTTAAGCGCACGCCCATGTAAGCACTAAGTTAACAATGACATTTAACCCTCAATTAGTTAATTAGTATTAGTTAACGTGCAGTATACTGTATCTCTTCGCGTTTAAACATGGATTGATCCCTTGTGAGTTAACGTTGTTGGTGAGACATGTCAATTAATATCTGGAAGTAAGGGGTTAGCCTTAGTCACCATAAATTTACATTCCACACTGCAACACAATAGATTATCCATCATTATGCCTTTAATAAGAAAGTGAGAAAGATTACTAAACATTGAATGATATATAACGGGCCGTGCCTGCATTATACATACATACTGTAGATGCAAGATTTCCTAATGTTTCAAAGTATGAACTGTTAGTGAAATGACATGAAATCCAGTTAAAATTGTTACAATTGATTTAACTTATTTTCTATAGTGGTCCAATGATTAAGACACTTTATTATTACACTAATATTCTAAAGTTCAATTTCCACGTAATATTTATCAATTCTAAGATACGTGTATACAATGTTTACATGTTCTCAATAACTTTCCACTACCTCGTGACCTTAACCTTCATGTGTAATGTCAAAGCTCACAGGTCATGTCGCGACCTCTTCAAAGCTCATGCATTTCGAAGCACATGCTCACCAGTGTGTATTGGACCTCCATGCTGCCAGGTTCTCACCTTACTGCCTGCTATATTTGAACTATGTAAAGACACACGTGAGTAGTTGTGTGCAGCAGTACAGTACCGTACCAAGATGGCGGCACTTCCGGTCACGTGACCTGCGCAGTGCATGGTGGGTCCTGCGTGCGCATCCAAGATGGCGGCACCTCCGTTTCCGGTGGCGCACGCATCCAAGATGGCGTCGCATCCGTTTCCGATGGCCTGCGCACCTCCAAGAGGGCGTCGCATCCGTTTCCGGTGGCGTACGCCTCCAAGAGGGCGTCGCATCCGTTTCCGGGGAGGATGGGGAAAACCCGGAGAATCGCACGTAAAAGGTGAACAGGATCGACATTGAAAGAAGCGCGTCAAAAATCTTGTGTTGTTGTTGTTCTAAACATAGGCGTGGTGGCGGTGGTGAAGGGAGGAGGGAGGGTGGTGGTGGTGAAGGGAGGGAGGGAGGGAGGGAGGAAAGGAGGAGGAGACGGGTTCATGGTTTGGGTTGGAGGGTCGTCAAAGCAAAGGATGATAGTTGTCTTTTGGGTGAGATGGGTGGCCCTGAAAAGGGCCGTTTTGAAGGATATTACTCCTTCACCCACAAAGGGGTGTGCTGCAAAGGCACGGGTGGACTTTCATCTGTCTCCTCACAGGACACCTACTGGTGTGCGTTAACCGCCGCACGTAGGTGTCCTTGAGGATGGTCTTACAGTACACACATTCGAAAGTCCCATCTGTTGTCTGGAGGCCATAGACTGTACTTGTTTTACTGATGGAGCTCTCACATGTTCGGGACCTGTTTGGGACAATATGATGGAGGGTCACATCTTATGGTGATCCTCATCTTCACTCGAAGAGCTTTACAACACAAATACTGCAACAGTGATCAAGTGATGTGCCATGTCTGTTTCAAGGAGGCCATAGACTGTACTTGTTTAACCGATGGGCCTCTCACATGTTTGATGGAGGACCACATCTTATTAGGTTGAAGATAGAAGAGCTTGAAGATGGAAGAGGAAAGAGGAAAACGTTGCCGCGTTGTTGTAGGGACATGCAAAGCACTCCCTCCTCCATTGTCTTTTCGTATTTCCAATGTATCTGGTTGTGATTGGTTTTTTTCATTATTAAACAGTGATTGATTGAACTGACTCTTTGTGTCTTGATTGATCTCAACTCCAATAGAGTACCGAACCGAGGGGTAGAGGTTGAGTTGAGATGTCGTCTACGTTGTCTGTCTGTCTGTGCGTCTGTCATGTCAGTGCACACCAAAGTGTAAAATTAAAATAAACGACAAAGGTCATGCTTGAAAGATCAGCTGCCTGGTGTCAGTCATTCCAGGTCACATCACAACATCCCCCGTGTGTCATATCATGTCATGTGTCATGTATCATGCCGTGTGTCAGTCAACCCAAACACAGGATGACGTCACGTGATGAGGTGAAGGAGGAGGAGGTGGAGGTGGAGGTCATGACCTTCCGTTGAAGGGAAGTAGGGAGGAGAGTTTCATAAAATCAGGCGAACCCTCAGACCTTCTTTCAGTGAAGTCACAGTCATCATGGAGCAAAGACGGTCTATGAATGCCATGCCATCCTCCCGAGATGTTGTCCCCGATTCCGAGTGGGTGTCTGAAAAGGTGCGAGAACAAGAAGGGAGAAAACGTCCACTCTTTATGGACGACACCCTCTTGATGGACGACACATGGCGACTCAGTGACATTCTGGAGGGACCTTTTCCTTCTTACACCTTGTGTCATCCTTCTCATCCTCACTATGATTCATTTCAAGAACGTCTGAGGTCTTTTAAAACGTGGCCTAAACAGATGACTCAGACCCCGTATGACATGGCCACGGGTGGCTATTTCTATCCAGGACGAGGTGACTGTGTTACCTGTTATTGCTGCGGTGTGGCACTCCGCCAGTGGGAAGCCACAGACAATCCCTGGAAAGAACATCTGAAGCACGCAAAAGTCCCCTGCGAATACTTGTGTGTGTTTTGTCCTGATGGAGAAGTGAACGAAAAATTAAGACGTTTGGTGTCCCAAGAAGCACGGAAGAGAAGAGTCGAGTGTCTTGTTCACCCCAAGTGACAACGTTTCTTTTTTTTTTCAAAGTGTACAGACGTTCATACCCTCGTGGTCACCACCCCCTCGTGTTCACAAAAATCACAGGGATGTCCCCCCTCATCCTGTGACTTTTTGTTTGGTTGTGTTGGTTCGTGTGATCAGGGGGATTAAAAAAAGTTGTCTGTAGGATGAAGAAAAAACAAAACAGGATCGAAATGCACATCCCGATAAAAACCGGATCGAAATCAGAGGCTTGGGTTGTCGACCAATCAGAGACCGCGCTCGGGTCATGCTGGGCTCGGATTGGCCGAACCGGGGTTGTGCTTTCTCTCCCATGGTAAAATCCATTTCCTATGGAAAAGAAACACAGGGGTCGGTCCGTTTTGGAAAACCGAGTTGCAGGCCAGGCACCGGAACGAACCAATCGGGGGCGCCGCCTGGGGAACCAATCAGGAAGCAGGGTGTCAGTGGCTCCCCTATAAAAACAAAACAAGAGCGAAGCCACTCACACACACTGCATTCTATTAAACCAATCATGCCAGCTCGATACAGTTGTATGAAGTGCCAGACCGACAGTCACAGTTACCAGTACTGCCCTGAAGTCACATGCCTCGAGTGTCACGATCAAGGTCACCGTCACTATGTCTGTCCGAAGATGAACAGTCAAGAGAAGCAGAACCTGGGCCCCTGTTACAACTGTCAAGTCATGGGTCATTTCGCTGCAGATTGCCCAGAACCCAGTCGAAAGAAGACACCCCAGCGCCCCTGTTACAACTGTCAAGTCATGGGTCATTTCGCTGCAGATTGTCCAGAGCCCAGTCGAAAGAAAACGTCAGCAACACCGTCCACGTCGACATCCGTGACACCCGTGACACCCGTGACACAAGTGCTTCATCTCATAGAAGACATGCACGCCGATGTCCTCGACCTAAAAGAATGACTAAATGAACTCCGTGCGGGCATCACACCTCGTCTAGAGAAAAGAAAACGGGTCAGAAGCCTCTCAAGAAAACACGCTTCAAAGCGCCGACGACACCTTCAGTCCGAGGATGAGATGGAAGTAGAGGATGAAGAAGATAGATCATCTGAACAAAGTGACTAACGCATGAGGGGCATGCTGCTCCACTGTTTTTACCAGTGTCCCATCGTTTCCAGTTTTTCCAGTGTTCCAGTGTTCCAGTGTTCCTACCGTTTCCTGACGTTTCCAGTTTCCAGTTTGTTTTCCAACTGCCCTTTTCAGGGCCACCCATCTCACCAAAAAGACAACTATCATCCTTTGCTTTGACGACCCTCCAACCCAAACCATGAACCCGTCTCCTCCTCCTTTCCTCCCTCCCTCCCTTCACCACCACCACCCTCCCTCCTCCCTTCACCACCGCCACCACGCCTATGTTTAGAACAACAACAACACAAGATTTTTGACGCGCTTCTTTCAATGTCGATCCTGTTCACCTTTTACGTGCGATTCTCCGGGTTTTCCCCATCCTCCCCGGAAACGGATGCGACGCCCTCTTGGAGGCGTACCCCACCGGAAACGGATGCGACGCCCTCTTGGAGGTGCGCAGGCCATCGGAAACGGATGCGACGCCATCTTGGATGCGTGCGCCACCGGAAACGGATATACGTGTTACAGTTCATTTAGAACATTGACTGGTCCACAGGAGAAAATGAAATAAATATACGATCAGACTTTATAATTCTCGACCATAAATCATATCGTAAGTCGGAATAAAATGGACTGTTAATGAGAAAATGTATCTCCTACAGTTTTATTATTATATAATTTACAAATTCTATCCTGTTAAGGCGTGATAGGTTTAGCAAATCTACCAAATTCAACTTGTAAGGGTAATGTGCCGCAGCGTAACTTGCTTAGGATACTACGATGAGACCTGTTCATAATACATGTAACATAGGGTTCAGCAGACAGCGAGTGTTGGAACAAACGATAAGTACGAAGCTTATTTCCATTTTGTAAACCTCTATCATTCCACAATTCTGAATATCAATTATGCTCATCTAACGCTGATAACTTATATCTTAGACAGGTAAAATCGAATTGGGTTAAATGCAGACCGTCAGAGACAGTTAGATCTAAATCATTAAGCAAATCCAAAACATTGTTTACCCACGATTTACGGAATTTTGTAGACCATTTACTAATCCAACAAAGAAGTCTATTGGGATCGACCGCTTGAATTCGCCGCCAAAAACGAAATATTTCAATATGCTGTTTTGTAAGTGGGCTTGTCCATCCTAATTCGCCACGGACTGATAGATTAGGAGTTTTGTTATTAACCGCAAGGAAGAAACGAGCAGCTCTGTTTTGAACAGAATTAATACAGCTGAATTGCTTTAGGCCCCTGATAGCCGAACCGTACAAAAGTATAGGCTGTACAAGATTATCATACAGTTTATTGAAAAATGAAAATGACATACCACCCGCTAATTTAAATTTACAGCTAAGAACACAAAGAGCTCTATTTGCTGATTTTGCCAATTCCTTAACAGAATAAGTCATATCCAAATTATATAGCCTGCACCTTGTTGCCTTTGAGAGAGTCTGTGTCTGTAGAGCTGGTTTGGTCCTTGTCGATTTGGTATTCACTCGCTGGAACACAAATATTGGATATTAGCATTGTATTGTGATTTTGAGCATCCGGGCGCATATATGACATGTAAATATATTTCCGATTATAGTACTTGTTGTTCATGCATATAATTTATTCATCAAATAATCAATTTGATAAATATTCGGTTTGCTGAATTTCTACTCTGAAAAGCTTCGTTGGTCTGTATGATTTAGCACGCGCATGGTTGGGTGCAAACCAAATTATGTTTATTTCTCATAAATTAAACCACCAGCGGCGGTACTGGAGCATATATCTAATGTCATACAATACAGAATAGTACATCAAGGTTGCAATTTCCATATAAAGATCATGTATTTCTGAAGCTATGACAATATATCTTGATAACCTTTTTTAATCTTAGATCTTTTGTGAAAATAACAGTGAAAATGGTTGAGTGAGTACATGAACTGGTTGAGTGACGTATTTAACGTGATTTACATCATTAAAATATAAAAGAATCTACAGTGATACAGGTATAAATGGCGAGTTGTCATTTATTTAAGAAGTCAGTGATTGGGGACGTAACTTGCGCTTTCCGACATTATGCGTATTTCGCACACGGTTAAGAACGAATTGTAATTCATCTACCCGTGTTGTATCTACTTACATGTAATAAAACACACGCTCAACGCCGCTGTCGGTGGAGACATGGTGTGGACTCCCCCCGTCGTGCGGCAGTGGGGATCTGTATCACGCCTTTACATGAGATGGATCCTGGACGTCTAGCACATCAAGTTCTCAATTGGACCTATCGGTGGGCGGCGCGACGTAAACGGAATCAAGTTTTTAGAATACACCTGAAGTTTGATGCACTTGGACTATCTCATTTTAACAACATTAATTACACGTATGACAAATGTTACGTCACAAGGACGGTTCAGGAAAAGATATTTGAACAGTTCACAGAAAATTGGATGAAGCTGATCAATCAAAAGAGTAGCGTACATGGAACAGGTGGAAATAAGCTGAGAACCCTCGCCACTTTTAAAGTCGAATATAGAGTCGAGTCCTATGTGTTGGGTGAGCTTCAGGGGTCACACAAGCGCCCTTTCAAGATTCCGGTGTGGAGTTGCGCCGCTTCACAAAGAAACTTGACGTTACAATAGTAACTTGTTATGTATGCAGAGATACAATTGAGGATGAAAAACATGTTTTATTACACTGCCCACAGTACCAGTCTTACAGATGCCACCTCCTTTCAAAGTGCAATTCAATCTGTCCTGATTTTAACGATTTAGTGATTACCAGAATCTAGGTTTTATACTTTCCAGCCCAGAAATGATTTTTACATCTGCCAAAACCAGCAACAGAATTTTATTAGGACGAACGTGGGCTTTATACAAATGATTTTTACGATGAGTTTAGGGGATGCTTATATAGTAATTTTGAAATTTTTAGATTTGGATGAATGCCAAGAGTGGTTGGGGGGCGAACTAAGGGAGCTGTGTGTGTTTGGTGGTTGTTAGATTAGGTAGGTTTGGTTTTAATATTTTATTTGGGTTTAAATGCGACTAATTAGTCCTGTTTTAATTCGGTATATGCCTAAGGCTTTGAATTTTTCTAATTTATTTTGTGGATTTAGGAATGATTCTAGTGTAAGTACGGTTTTAAGATTTAGGGGGGTCTGTAGTGTTGTTCGGTGTGTTTGGTAGTGTGTGCAGTGAATGAGTACGTGTTCTGGTGTTTCTTGTTGTTTGCCATGTGGGCAGTTTCCTGTTGTGCTTAGGTTAGCTATTTTACGGTGATTATTTAGTTTGGTGTGGCCTGTTTGTAGTCAGTTGACGTGCCATGCTTTTCGTATCGATACCAGAGGAATTGATGGTGTCTTGGCACACATTTCAACATCCTGGCTACAACTGACTGCAAGTCTCCTGTTTCCTATCGACCTACGAGGCTGCTCCGTTGAGCATCAGTGAGACGTGGCACGACGTCACAGGTAAAACAGTTGCTGCCAGTCAAAACCACCCCACCATGAACGTGCATTGATCCTATTGTAATGTGGTGTTACCATTCTTACTTTTGCAATATGCATGTGGTCGTTGTTGCGCTTTGAACGATTCAAACAATGACAATTTAATTATTAAGTATGTATATTAAGCGACAAGGTATGAAATATATCATGTATATTTTTATGGTTTTTATGGTTATGTCGCTCTGCCACTACTTTGGGTCATTTCCATAATATTATGCTCCTTGCATTTGCAATTGGCCCATCAGCCTCAGTTTCAGTTAAAAGTGTTGTCATGTCGTCACATTGTCATAAGGCAATTACACAATATCGGTCTGTTGTCATACCATCATATTGTCATATTAAAATATTACTCTAGTACCATGTTGTTCTTTTGCCATATCATCGCGTGACCATATCGCTTCATGGCTTTTTTGATGCGAATTCATCGTGATAACATGTCATGTTATCACCATAACATGCCGTTCTATCCCTATGTTGTGTCACGCTATCCACGCGACTTGTCGTACTATCGCTGTATCGTCTAATTCTATTGTTTTGTCATTGTATTTCGTATTATCGCTTTGTCGGGCGATATTGTCTGGATTTATCGGAGCGATATGGCGAAGACCTCTCTCAGTGACCATCTTCTTATAACATGTTGAACAAAATGCAGGCGTGCAAGAGAACTACCACAACAAGAATACTTCTGTCACACTTCTACGATTCGATTCCTGATCTGGCTTGAACGTTGTTGACTGCTTCGTCAAAACACTCACTCGCATGGATGAAATAGAACTTCCTTGTAGCCATCTGACACAAACATGGACTTTGAAACATTCTGCTGATATATTCACACTAACAAAACAAGGATCCTGTGAAACAAGGATGTAAAATCTTGGTGTACATGTACATGTAGGCCTTATCAGTGGCGGAATGATTTTCCCACCAGCCATCTCTGTAGACATTTAGGATCTTCATCCTTCGTTTTGATAGGAACCAGGAACATACTATGGAGAGGATGATTTACAAGCGCTTCAGTTTGGTGGTTCTTTTGACGGTCACGCAGAGTGGCATGGGAAAGTATCTCTGTTGTGCTTTTATTACCCCAGTATCTGCAATAAAAAAACATGTAATCCATTTGATACGGATCATTTACCAGAGTAAATATCTTTTTGGAATTTACATATTAACTGTTATTTCAAAGAATTACATGCCCTTTAAATCAACTTTTCACTCAGCATCGAATTTCACACAGTAGGGGATGTCATGTGAGTGAGTATTTTTTTACGCCGGTTTTAACAATATTCCAGCAATACCACGGCGGGGGACACCAGAAATGTGCTCCATACATTATAC